CCAACGCACCACTGTATGTATGATACAGTGTTTTGAATTAACATCATAATGCAAGGCACCACTTTATGTCTGATACAGTGTTTTCCAACCTTTTTCGAGTCATGGCCCCCTTTTATAATAGCCAAGTAACCTGCAACCCCTGCTGCAATTAACATCATAATGCAAGGCACCACTTTATGTCTGATACAGTGTTTTCCAACCTTTTTCGAGTCATGGCCCCCTTTTATAATAGCCATGTAACCTGCAACCCCCGCTGTATTTGCATAAAAAGGCATTTTAAGAGGATAAAGAAAACATATTAAAATAGATGTTTCAGAATATAATTCTAACCTAATATAGTAATATTAATTTAATAAAACATAATTGGGGGGGCTGTACCAGATACAATTTGAGAAGGAAAAAAAATGTGAATACACTCTGAGTTTAATTGACTTTCTTAAATTCTACTTTTACTTTGTGGCTCCTCCCTCCAAAAATGTCCCCTCAATGAAGAGCCCCTCCCTCTCGAGCCCAAATAAAGACTTCTTCGCATGGGCCCTGCCCCACCCTGCCCCATGCCTCATTCCTTCCCGTTCTCCTCCCTTATCTTTTTGCCCCTCTTGCCCACCTCTTCCATGACTCAGACATGACCCAGATCCCCGCTTCCTTCACTGTGCCACCATTGCCACACCCAGAGGAGCCATACCAACACCTCTTCAGTCTTGCCACCATCTTAGGCATTGGTGTTCCCAGCATGCATCACATGCTCACCTCATTCAGGCCTCTTTGAGCTAGGTTGACACTCAGGTCGAAAGGACTGACGTCAGTCCCCACAAAGGTGAATGTGGAGGAGCAGAGAGAAACAAGTGAGAGCAGCTCTTTCAAAGGGATGCACATGTATAAAAGGAAAATTCACCCCAAATACAGAAATACAGAAATAAATACTTTAGCTTGTCTCAGTAGGTCAAGAGGATTAAAATGAAATAGCACAGTGTATATATTATTCAGTATAATACATTTAAAAACAACTGCAGGTAAAAATAACCATGGTCAGCCCCCCACCCCCCGAAAACACATGGTGGCCCTCTTAGGAGTTGTAATCTCCCAGGTTGGGCAATTGTGATCTAGGGAAAGAAAAAGGTAAAAAGTCACTCTCCATTTTCCAGAAGTTCTTACCAGAGTTGTCCCAAGATAGTTTGCTGCCTGAGGCCAAGGACAAGATGCAGAATCTGGAATGGCAGGCCAGTTGCTTCCATAGATAGCAAACTTGACAGACAGTTGCATCTTCCTTCACTGCCTGGTTAGCTTATCAGGTTTGTTTAGGGAGAGCAGACAGGGTGTGTGGTACATATGACTCAGTTCTTTAGTAAAGGGGCATGGCCAAGAGAAATGTTTAGGGGACTGATTCGTCAGCTTTCCCCAACTGAGGCTCTTCTCTCACTCTGCCTAATGGTAGGGCTGGTCCGGATTATTGCTTTGCAGGCATCACATGTACATGGGAATGAACTGGCAGAGGGGAAACTTCCTTCTTTCTGTAGATGTTGAATTGCTAATGACATCCTTCAAGAGAAATCTTTATATAGCTGTACAGCTCCTCAGACCACTTTTTGGTACAATTCAACTTGTTGGCACTGAGCTTATGTGAGACCATAGTATCTGTAGAATATCTTTCTTTCTGTTCAATAAACCAACGTTGGAATGACATGTGGTGAGTAACAGATGGGCACATGGTTTTCCTGGTGGTGACACTTTAAATGTTCATATTTGAAACTTGGGCTTGCATGAAATTTCTTGGGCAGTTTATGAGTTAATTATGCAGGCTACACCATGAACCCTCCACCCTAGCTGCTTTCAGGCATTGCTTTTCTCTCTTTTATTTTATTTTAGCTGTTACGTATTTCTGCCTTTGAATCCTGGAATGTTCCACTGAAATATCCAGTGTAAGCTGTCATTATATTCCATTTATTGGCCTACCAAATTCAGTCAATGGCAGCTCATGCTAACTGTGGTTCGCAGGGTGGAAGGTGAAACACAGAGAGAGAGAGTTTTGGAATACAGCAGGAGAAAGAAAATGTGGGCAGAGACTTGATACTTCACTTCATGAAAGGACAGAGGTTGAAGTAGGCCTGCCTGCCTGGCCTAAGGCATGCTCCATTTGCCTTTAATGGACCAACCTCCACTGGCTTCAGTTCGGTAGCACACAGTGACTCCAGTTTCAAAGTGCCGCGAATCCATTTTGAGTTTTAGTCTGCACTTTACAGCACTTATCCAAGGTGCTGAACCCAGGGTCCTGCATTTTGGACAGCTCCTGTGGAGAGTAAAACCTAGAGTGGCTTCACAGCACTTCTGAAATTGGAGTCAGCAGCTTCATTGCACCAATGGACGTAAGGCTGAGTAAGTATTTTGCATCTGGAGTCTTGCAACGAAATAACTCTAACCATCCCAAGAGAAGCCAAGTTGGCCTTTCCTGCTGTCCTTGGCTTTTCTTTGTGCAAAATGCCCCCCCCCCGGGCCAGCTCATCTTTCACCAAGGTTCATAACCATACAATTGAGTCTCATTGTTCTGCTGCAATGAACTTTATAGACTCCTCAGAGTTGCTGCTGGTCCCAGACTTTGGGACTTCCTCCCACTGGAGGCCAGACCGGCTTCATCTTTCCTGTCCTTCTGCAAGCAGACAAAGACCTTTCTTTTCAGGCATGCTTTCTCTTAGTGACTGGCTGCCTGAGTGGGTCTTTTAAACAGACTGTTGTGCCGTACTGCTTCACATTCTTTACAACACAAGCTTCAATGAAATACATCTGTATATCAAAGAGGCTATCTCCCTACTGTTAAATATCCATTGACTTTCTTACTAACCAGCCAACCATGATCTCTGTATTTTGATGCCATGTATAAATATTTGCCATATTATATCTCATTCTTATCACATCTGATGAAGTAGACTTGTCCATAAAGCCTCACATTAAAATGTAACAGTTGCCACCACATTTTTGTCTTTTTTAAATTTGTTTGTTCATTTGTTCTTTTATTTTTATTTTTCTAATTTGTTTTTTCCTATAATGTTTTGAATGTGGTTTTGGTGTTCCTTTTGTTTACTGTTTTTTTGTGTGGTATTTGTTTGACCCTTTTAAATATTTTTATACATACTGCTTTTAGTGTTAAATATTGTCTTTCGATGACGTAAACTGCCTTGAGCCTTTTTTAAAGAGAAAGGTAGGGTAAAAATATTTTTTAAAAATTTTAAAGGCAGCATGGCTGTGTTTTCTGGAAAGCGGGATGATTTGGATAAATCATCACCATTAAGATGTTTAAAGAGAAAGGTAGGGTAAAAATATTTAAAAAAAATTTTTAAAGCAGCATGGCTGTGTTTTCTGGACAGCGGGATGTTTGGGATAAATCATCACCATTAAGATATTTCTTGTAAGCTGTCATATTTTCTCTGTTTAAAGCATTTAGCACGGTGGCTCATAGTCCAAGCCAGGGGAGAGGGCTTGAGCTAGGAGCCCCAAAAGGCTGGGAGAGCAGGTCTTTCATTTCAGATTTTACTGATGTGTCAGAAACAAAGACTTGCCTGAAGCCACGTTCACAGCCTTGAAGCTTGTAGCCTGATTTCCCCATTCCAGTTCCACTTCTCCATCTGCAAGAACTTTTTTGAAAGAAAAACGCCCCACCAATCCTAGACACACAGCAGTGATTTCAGAAGCACAGCTTGACATAGCAATTGAATGGCCACAGTTTCCCTTCCAATAGGCATCTGGAGGGTGGCCTATGGATGGGGAAACGGTTGGTTTTGATAGCAAAACACAGGGTCCATAATTTATACCAAGATAGGATGCAAAAGGGATCACACAGATATTAGAATCTTCAACTATTCCATGCTGGAGTCAGATCTTAATTAAGGTACTTTGCTATTCGTTCGTTGAGTCGTTCAGTGTGTCTGACTCTTCGTGACCCCATGGACCAGAGCACGCCAGGCCCTCCTGTCTTCCACTGCCTCCCGGTGTTGTGTCAAATTCATGTTGCTATTACTTTGGGATTTTTCTGCACAGGTACCAGCAAGTACTGTACTGAAGGCAGGACTTTGAGGGACTACTCAACAAGGGGACCTACTCAGCCAGAGGACACCACTGCCACCAAAACAGCAAACCTGGCTTATACCTCACTGCGAAGCAGATGAAATCATGCGGTCACCGCCTAAAGAGTTACCTCCATCCCAGATCATTTAATCCAGAGTATGACATTCCCTAGCTACACTACTATGTCAGGGTGAGCTATGAGAATTGGACCTAGCGGTTGGTTTCAGGAAAAGAGAGGTACTGGAGCAGCTAGCACTCTCTAACTTGAATGCCCTATAGGAAATCGAAAGAAATGTAGCGATAGGGCAGGGAAAAGCACTTTGTGCGTGGTCAGGGACACTCTTTCACGCGCTCTCGGAGCAGCCCCACGGCTGGAATGCTGGGATGAATCACTTTTGGTTCTCTTTATGCCCTGAGGGCGCCCGATTTGCAAACTTAGAAACCCGAGCGCATGAATTAACGTGATCGGAGGAAAGCCATTCTTGGCCGCCTGCGAGGAATGAAACTGGGGGCTCCGGCCTGCCTCCCTTGGGCCAATCCCCCCCCCCCATACACACACACACACCCCGAAAGGTCGGGTTCCTCGCCTTTCGTCCCTTTCCATCTTCCTTCCCTCAACCCCATCACGCAGGAGATTTTTTCCAAGCTGACTCACAGAAATCAGGGCAGCGTCCTGTCATCCCCAGCGCGGCGGCGGCGGCGGCGGCAAGCTGTTGCTTGTGCCGCTCCGGCGTTCCACGGTCCTCCTCCCTCGTGTTGTGAATGGCTGGCGGGGAGGAGGCTAGGGCGGGGCCCGCCGGGAAACCCGCCCCTCCCGGGACCCGCCCACCGCTCCCTTGCTCTCCCTCGAGCAGGGACCGCAATGATTTAGAAGTTCAGGAATCCCACGTGACGTCACGGAGGGTGATGTAATGCTTCTCTAAATAGAACGTATTGTAACCTTCTCGCAGTCCAACGTGGTTCTTTAGCCCGGGCTGCTGGTCCCTGCTTGCACTTGTTGGGTAAGTCCCTAAAAATACGGAACGGTCTCGCTGTTTTGGGGGTCTCCCCTTCCCTTTGCTGGCTTTCTCGTCCGAATCCAACTTTACACGTCGTTTTCGAGACACGGCTTGCCGGAGCCTCTGTGAAAAGTTCTGGCGTGCAGAGGATCTCGGTGCGTGTGTGGGTTTGCGTGTGTTTTCCCCCTTCTGTACCCTTTTCCCCGACGCGCGTGTGTGAAATCAGTCGCAACGACGGGGGCACGGGAGAAAAAGTAACGCGAGCCAGAGACGAGGGGAAAGAGAAAGAAGGAACGATCCGGGCAAAACTGGGGGTGGTGGGGGGGA